AGGGAAGACAATACACAACCTGTGAAACCAGCTGAAGTGGTTCAAAAGAATTTTTAAAATATTTTAATTTTTTGAAAAAAACATTGAATTGTACACTTCATTTATTTTGAGACAGGTCTTGCTCTGTTGCCCAGGCGTGAATGCAGTGGCACAGTCACGGCTCACTGTAGCCTGGGCCTCCTGGGCTCAAGCGATTCTCCCGCCTCAGCCTCATGAGTAGCTTGGGACTACAGGCACACACCACCAGACCTGGCTTTTTTTTTTTTTCCTGTAGAGGCACGGTCTCACTGTGTTGCCCAGCCTGGCATCAAACTCTAGGCTCAAGTAATCCTCCCACCTCGGCCTCCCCAAAGTACTGGGATTACAGGTGTGAGCCAGCACAAAACAATTTTTTTTTTTTAAAGATTCAGCTGCAATTTCAATGTCAGTGTTCTAAGGAATCCCTTCACCTCCTCTTCCCTCTCCCAGCCAGTGATGCTGGAACACTGGGGCATGACAGCATGTGCACGTAGAGGTCAAAATGAACAATAAAGACAGAGAAAGGACTGGAGTGGAAACTGGAAACTGGTCACCACAGCTGGGCAGCTGGCAGAGCAGAGGCCACAGGGGCCCACAGCTGGGAGGAAGTGAGCGCTCCTGGAGGGGAGGCTGAGACACAGCGCCGGAGGGCACAGCTCGGAGAGGAGAAAGCGGGCACCATGCAGCCAGTGCGTCCCCATACCTGCGCACCCGCCACCATCCCCTGAACCTCATCTTCCCAAATGGCTCTTTATTAAGCCTCTGATGCTCTGCCAATCCTTCCAAACCTCGTGCCCACATTTGGGATGCACTGTCCGCTACTGCTACCCCCAACACTGGTCACAGGAGGCTGAGCACTGGGGGCTCCATCCAACCTCGCTGGACCTGGGTGCCCATGGCCTCCGGCCTTGCACAGGCAGTCACCCCCCCTGTGGCTGTGCCATCCGCTGTCCTGAGGCCTTGGTGCAGGTGGCTCTCCAGATTCCTACTATGTCTCTCATCCTCCTACTGCGTCTCCCACCCTCCTACTGCGTCTCCCACCCTCCTACTGTGTCTCAGGCTCTGTGGTTCCTGTGCACTCTCAGTGTGCCCAACAGGGCCTGAAATGGACTCTAATCAGTATTCCTTAGTGTAGGGTCACGCTCACCTGCACAGCACCTGTCAGCAGACGGCCTCAGCCAGGGGAGCTCTCCCAGAGTCAACGAACAGCTGTGAGTCCCACCCTGCCTGCAACCCAGCACCAGATGGGGCATTCCATCTCTCAGCAAGGAAGAAAAGCAAGGCCGCTGTGGACATGAAACTGACCACATGGCTTCAAATCATGCAATTCTTCATGTTTTCTACTCAGACAGCAAATGGCAACTGTGGGATGTGACTAGAATCTCTCAATATTTAATTTGAAGAAAACATGACTCAAACAGGATGGCCCCCTGGCAGCCGGTGCCACAAGGTCACACCAACGCAGCACAATGGCGCTTCCCAGCACCACAGCCACCAGGGCCCTCCTGGAACTGAGGCTGCTGCTGGCTGCAGACGCGGCCTCAAACCCACCACCCCAGCAGCAATCCACAAGCACAGCGCACATCCCTCCCTCCATGGAACAAGGAACGGAGGCTGTTTTCACAGAAGCTGTCCACTGATCAGAAAATAATCAGTTAACGGCAAGAAGTAACAGCAACAATCATCTCAGAAGTGGAACAGGAGGAAAACAGCAACAAGTGCGAGCCCAGCACAAGGAAAGGGGGCGGGGTGCAGGATGTGGGGCACGGGGTGCAGGGCGCAGGACACAGGGCGCAGAACCCGGCCCCAGGATGGAAGACGAATGGCCAGAAGAGGGTAGGCCTGGCCACCCTCCCGAGAGGATTTCTAGCTGCTCTGTCAGATTCTGAGTCTGTTGCCACATAACCATTCTTAAATGACAGTTGGAACTAGGGAATCAGATGGGAATACTAAGCTAATCCTCAGTGATCTAGGAACTTAAAGCAGCCGCATCCATTTCTTTGTGTTCTCTTACTCCAGCCGGGGTGCTGTTCCTTGTCTTCCCTCAGCTCCCTGGAGCGAGCGTGGGCTGCAGGGTCTCCCATAATCAAGCCAGTGCTCACAACCAGGGCAGGCCAAGAGCCTCCGGGACAGAGGACGCGGGAGGCTAGCACAACGCTCCGACCACGACAGGGCGCGGCTGAAGCGCCTCCGGGAACACGCGGCGGAGCCTCGGAAAGGGCCTCCCGCGACACCGGCGGCGGCAGCTGCAAGGGCCTCCGGGACAGGACGGGGAGCTGAAAGGGCCTCCAGGACAGGACGGGGAGCTGAGCCATCTGCAATGTCACACAAAGGACGCTTCTGAGGTCAAGTCTGGCTGGAGAAGAGAGAGCCTTAGACCCACGTGCACTATCCTCCTGTGGGCACAGGGGCGGGGAGGAGAGCGAATGGGCTGGGTGACCCCCCACACGGCTCAGGGCTTCTTAGCCCAGTAGACAACATGGAGGTGAGTGGGCTTCTCTGTGCTTTTTGAAACATCCTTCTGTCTCCCAAACATGTGGCCAGCCAGGAGGACGAAACCTGCATGAGCAGGGTGAAGCTCTGCAGGAATGAGAACTGGCCAAATGATGGAAAAAGAAAGAATTTCCACAAATGGAAGATGAGGGGTTCGCTACACAGATTTACCAGAAAAGGCAGCTTCAGATAACACAACGGTTTCCTTAAATCATACACCAGTTTCCTTCCAAAGAGAAGCAGGGGCCATGTACTGAGCTTCTGCCTGCTACCCTGAGTGGTAGCACTGGCCTCTCCTGAAGCCGTCTTTGATTTGAGGTGCCACAAATGCAACTGATAATAGGAATCAGGAGGTGGGAAGAACATAGGAGAGTTCATAAGGGGGAAAAAAACAGGTGATTTATAAATTATTATTCGTTTCACATAAAAAGTGGTAGTACGGCAGCTTTACGCATTCTGCAGTGAGGCCACTTAGAGTGGGGACCTGGAGGGGCCACGGCAAACACAGGAATGAGCAGCAGTTGCGACCCTGCTCGCAGTGCAAAGGCATGTGGGGCAGCAGCAGTGACGGAGGGCCGACAGACACCAGAACACAGCCTTGTTCAGAGGATTCCAGACAGCAACTCCTCCAACATCAACCCTCAGTCCTTCCCGAACTCAGATCTGTGCTGGAGTCAATGGGCCTGCACGCCTGCTGAGAAAAGCTGGAATCTCTGTCCTCACAACAGAGGTGGGAGGATTCTGTCTACAATCATAAACAGAAGCACTGCAGTAATATAGTGTAAAGAGCCTGGTTCTATCTTTAAAATTCCAAGTGGATTTTGTTCAGAGGCAGAGAGGGGAACAAGGGAATATCGAAGGTGACATGCCTTACAAAAATTTTCCTAGGAGTTAAAGTCCAGAAGCGTTTTAACTATGATACAGTTCCACTACCAGCATAACCATAAACCACTATGTTGCACAAAACTAAGACGGACCACCGGCTGGGAGTCCTGTCCTCTGCTGCCCCAGTGACTGTGAGAACCATGGCGGAGAAAGGCACGGAGAACCAACCCGCACTGCACCGACGACAGCCTCATTACCCCAGCGGAATGAGCGCAAAGCCACAAGTGTGGATTTAAAAACTGCGCATTCCTTTGGCTCTTCTCCAAAGCAGCAATTGCATACTTACAGACGAGCGAAGCTGCAGGACTACCTGAGAAAACCTCATGCTGATCTTCAAGAAGAAACTTTCCAACTAAGAAACACTGACATAAACCAGTTCTGGAGGGTCTGCAGCCCTTCTCCCAAGGGGCCTCTGAGGGGTCAAGGGAAAGCCCACGGGACGCACGTGCCCTTCTGTCCCTGTCATCTGCGAGGCACCTCGCTCCGGGGGTGCCCTGGGCTCAGTCGGGTCAGAGATCCGCAGGGCCTGGCCTTGGCAAAGGGAACGCACGCAGGTTCCTCAAAGGACAGTGCCCTGTGGTTTTGAAAAATGAGTACGATCTTTCTACGCAGTGAGCTCTGTGTTTATGGTTCTCACCGCCAACCTCCCAGGTTCTGTTTTACGAAATGGGAAGATCACCCAGACTCTTCAATAATGATCCAGAGGTGATAGCCGTCTCCTGAAGAGAAAGGCTCTTCACCAGGACCTGGGAACACACAGCCTCAAAACCTCCAGCGAGTTCACTGTGTCCTGCACAGCAATGCCCTCCCCAGGACCCGCACTGTCAGGACACATCATTTTGTAAAGACAACTCGTACCGGGGTGCTCAACGAATGGTCACTCTTTTTGTCAAGGATTAGAAAGCAAGCAAGTTTGTGAGTTTGATGGCAATACACAGGAGTGAAACCACCTTTTCCTACCAGAGCTATCTACTCAAACACGACCACCACCAACATCCACACGCGTGTGCAGAAAATAACCATCTGCACGGAGTGGGGTTTGGGGTTGGAGGGGAGGGCACGTTTCCGCCAGAATGCAAAAGCTACCGAAATCCTACGGAGCAGCAGATGTGACCCCCAAGCCCCACCCTCCCCCTTCCAGGCCTGTGCACTGCCATGGTGAGGAAAGCCAGTCCTGCTCTGGGGCTCAAACTGAGAGGCCTTCGCACCCTCGCTTCCTCCTGTGGCAGCCCCCATTCCTTGGCAGCACAATGGCCTGTATGTGACAGAGGGGCTGTGGCACTCACCTGACCATCCGCCCCCTCCCATGAGAGCCCCACCCCTTGGCAGCGCAATGCCCACGTGTGTGTGGAGACCAGGGCACACACCTGACCGTCCCACCCCGTCCTGTGAGAGCCCCACCCCTCCGCAGCGCAATGCCTGTGTATATGTGTAAGGACTGGGGTCGCTCACCTGACCGTCCCACCCCCTCCCATGAGAGCCCCATCCCTTGGCAGCGCAATGCCCACATGTACATGGGGACCAGGGCACTCACCTGACCGTCCCACCCCCTCCTGTGAGAAACCCACCCCTCAGCAGCGCAACTCGCGCACTGGGACACTCACCTGACCATCCTGCCCCACGTGATGGATCTGGAGGTTGCCCTGCAAAGAATGAGAGGAGGAGACGGTCATGAGCAGAAACACGCCAAGACACCCGTAGACTCGTCAAACACGCCAAGACACATCACGGGCCATTTGAGAATAACAAGAAAAACACTGGTTCTAAAAATTCAACCTCTAGTAGCAACAAAAGCTCCAAAATAAAATATTTAGATTTTTAGGTACTATTTATTATCTTAAAGGTGAACAAACAACTCAAAAAGCACTGTACCCATTCCCCCACCCTGACCCCAAATGAAAATGTCATTTTGGCTTCATTTTTTATTTTGAAAGAATTTGACTCACAAAAAGTACAGAAAGTAGCAGAGAGAGGTCCTATGTGTGTGCCGCCCAGCTTCTCCCAGTGAGGACACTTTGCTGAGCTGTGCGGCATCACCATGCCAGGACATGGGCCGCACACCAGGAACCAGTTCACTCAACCACGGAGCTACCAAGAGCTCTCCAGCTAGAAACTCGATTTCATTTGTTGTAAAAAGGAACTGTTTTAAGACTGTTAGACCCTGCTAAACGTTTATTTGCAGATATCCTGTTTTAACAAAATAATTTCAAATGAACACGGTATGAATTTACGGTGGAGACTGCATACTGTCACTTATCACAAAGCCATCCTTAGCATTATCAGCAATTTCTAACTTACTGCATTCAATTCCTAATGAAAACAAAAGATCACCTATACAAGATGGATTCAGTTTTGAAAACTGAAAAGAGGAAAAACTAATAATAAAAAATTGCAATTCGAGTAGTCAAGATTTTTTAGCATAAACTATAAAAAGCAAATGTGTGTTTTTTCTTTTGCTGCTGTTTCAATTTTCCTTCATTTCCAATGACTCTAAGGAAATTAAGCATTCCGACGAACTGCATGGACTTCCAGGTATTCAAGAATTCTGGCTGAGCTCTCTGACAGTGAGCTCAGCCTCCAGCCCCCACTTGTCTGTGCCTTGAGAAGCAAACCTTCCCCTGCCCTTCAAAGGCAGCTCCTGCACTGGAAGGTGCTGCTGGGATCCTGCACCTCACAGCCGCTCAGGCCCCCGAACTCCTGCACCTGACTGCACTGAGCCGACTGGTGCCATCTCCTGGCATCTCCACAGAGACGGTCCCTGACCCACCCACAGACACAGAACCAGGCCCTGCTCCTTCCTGGACACTCTGGCCTCCCGGGACCGTCCCCCACCTGCCCCCCACCCCGGTGCTTCCTTCCATCCATCCATCTGACCACGTTTCTTAGTGACCTGGTCATCTTGCTGTGTGGATGAGCCCACTCATTCCCAGTCGCTTACGGCCCCCACAAGAATTCACTCCTCCCCTTTCACCTCATCCTGATTCCACCCTCGGAATGCTTATGCATGTGCTCCTCTCTCAGGATAACCCACTAGGAACTGCTGGTGTCCAAATTAAAGCCACCGCCAGCAGACACGTCTGAGTCCCTGGGGCTCCTCCTGCCACGGCATGCATGTGTCCACAGTCTTGCTCATGGGCACTTGGGCAGGAGCCTCTGCGCCCACCGTGAATCTCCGAAGGCAGGGCTTCTCTCTCCTCCGCTCCCCAACAGCACCTGCACCCAGCACGAGCTCCCGGGAGGCCTCGCATGCTAACATCTCCATGAGTCCCCTCGACCTCAGCATCCGAGCTTCCTAGACTCTGCTGCTGGTGTGTGTGGGGAAACCTGAGATCTTTGTAATGACACACTGTCGTGCACCGAACACAACACTGGTGCTATTGTCACGATCTAGAAACAGCCATGTTCCTCATCCCCCAGAGCGCACCACGGTCACTCAGTACAACACGTGTGTGCTGCTTAGTGCCCTGCGCCTGCTGCTGCCCGTACTGTAGGAAACAGCCCAGAGTCGAAGGACAGCCACCAGCCACCCAGGAGACAGTCCTGCTGTGGCACGCAAACACGGAGCACCGCAACCGGCCAGCCTCAGCTTTCCAAGAACTCAGACTGTCACTCCTGCCTTCACATTCCAGACCCCAACAGCAGCTGAGCCCACACTTCTGAGTGCATGGCCAGGCAGAGTTCCAGAAATGGAGACAGCGGAGATAATCACAGACCTGGCAGGTGCGCCAAGGGCTATTCCCAGCTATCAGGACCGGCAGCATCACCTCATGGGATTCCCCACCGTCCCATGAAATCGGCACTAATCCCACAGAGGCCACGAGGAAGCTGGGGCCACATGGCAGGTGAGGGGGTATGTCAGGTCACCTGTGCAGGGGTAGACCACACCTCAGCCACACTGGGGGCCTCCCCTGGCAGGAAGGACAGGGCCAGACAGGGAGAGAAGGGTACTCAGAGGGCACTTCCAGCCAGGAGCAGAAACATCAACCCAGGAGATCTTTATCAAGACAGACCAGAAGCTGTGGAGACCAAGAGACAGGAGGGGAGGCAGTGAGGCCACAGAGACTGCAGGCCCGCCACGTGCACCCTGGAAGCAGAGTCCTGAAGCCCTTGCCCATGTTCCCCGTCCTCTGGGGCTCCCGGCTGCCCTCGCACTGTGACACCGATGAAGGTCGAGAGCATGCGGGCACCGTGCCTGCAGGGACAGTGCTGTGGCAAGAGGTGACTCACCTCGCTGTCCTGCGTGATCTGGACTTGCTCCCCCTGCGGCACCTGGGCGATGTGGAGGTGTCCCTGTGGGATCCGCAGCAAGAGAAGACACCAAGAAGCATCAGAAGAAAATCAAAAGCAAAGGAAACAAGAAACGTCTTCCGGAATGTTTGTTCTTATCTGTTTATAATTCAAAAAGATAACTGAATCCTGAATAGTGCAATACAGTCTGTGGTCACCTCTTTAAATTAAGCTTTTGGTTCACAGCAGTCCCCCTCATCCATAAGGGTTTTGTTTCAAGAAGCACCCCTCCCCCCACTATGTGGACACCAGAAACCGTGGATGGTGCTGAACCCCGTATATGCTATGCTTTCTCCTGCCCATACATGCCACACAGCTTGGACATGCTGGACAAAGGAAGGACTCACGTCCCGGATGGGACGGAGCAGGATGACCAGACTTCATCATACTACTATCCAGAAGAATATGCAATCTGAAACTTACAAATTGTTTATTTCTGGAATTTCTCATCTAATATTTTCAGATCACAGTTGACCATGGGTAATTAAAACCTGGGAAAGTGGAGGCATGGGTAAGGGGGGGCTACTGTGTAATGTACACAGAACATCTTCCAGTACTTCACAAAGGAGCAATAGGTCCCAGGAAAGATATTTACATCTTTAAATGTTACTAAACAAGTAAATTTTAAAATGTGCCTGACACATAGAAAAGAGGGGAAACAGAAAATCAGAATGACACCTCTTTCCAAATGATACGTTCAGCTCTCTGGGAAAGCTGGGAGGCTACGCATGGAGCTTGTGGCTGGAGCAGGGGAGCTATTCACGTGCCTACACTCACAACAGGGCAGGCAACGTTTTTTAAATCAAAGAAACACACATATGACTATTTAAACAGTTTGAGTAAACACTAATAAATGTGATTCAAAAAAACAGTCAAAGAATCCAATGTTTATACATACAGGCAGACAAATAATTCCTATAAACCTATAAATGAAATGAATACTCCTTATCTTATTTGAAATTATCTCTTAGTCAAAATGGATCTTAAACTCCTGTAGAATGTTCTATGTAAGTCTTATGGCAAAGTTATCTACTCTGGAACTCTTTCAAAGAACTTCTTACTAACAAGATGAGAGGAACTGATGTGAATGTCAAACAAATAAATAAGCTTATTAAATAAGACTCACTATTCATAACTGTCTCATCTCCTTTGGAAGAGGAAGGGTAATGCCCCCTCTAAAAGCCCCAGAATTTTCTGGAAGCCTTCCCTCTTCCAGACAGCGTGCTGAAGCCACACTGAGATGAGAGCCACGCCCCACTCTCAACAGCGAAGGACCTTGTTTCCAGGAGAAAGCCCGGGCGACACAGAGGCACACAATGACCTCTGTCTTCAGAGGTCCCAAGGGTGCTGGTGCCACTAAAGACATCAGCGATGTCTACTGGTACATGTAAAATTCCTAGTCACCCAGCAAAGCTTCCAGAAAAGTCTTCCTTCCTTCTCAGCCACCCCCTACTCTTGCACCACAGAATCCAGGAGGTGTCTGTAGAGGGACTTCACCCGGGAGTCAGCCCCGAGCTCATCAGGCTGACCACAGCTTGGGCCACAAAACCCCAACAGAGAACTCTGCACGGGCAAGGCAGGACATTGACTCACTGCTGGGGCAGTGCCCGCCCAACCCAGGTGTGCTGAGTAACTCCAAGGCAAACGCTGATGGGAACAATGACCTCAAGCTTTTGCCACTGATCCTAGAAGGAAATGACTCTTTCCCTCAGTGAGAGGGCGCCTGCGCTTCTGAACTGAGAAATATTTCTGATGCTTCCCAGGAGCACGAGCTGGGACAGGCACCACCGCACGGCCTGACCCTCGCAGCTAACTGCCCGCCTGACTGCTGGCAGGACTGAGGTGAGCTGGGCGCCCGCCCCACCATGTGCTTCAATCCCCAGGCTCTGCAGCAGCCGCCCCTACCTGTGAAATGTTAAGAGCGCATGGCTACGACAACCTCTACTTTAAATGGGGACCTTGTGCCTCCTCCCAAGCTATCACTGTGCTTCCGAAACAGTGGAACCAGTGGAAGCCGCCATGGCCCTGCCGTGGCCCGCCCTGCAGCCCCCTTTCCCAAGGTGCGAGGTGGAGAGGGTACGTACTACTTGCACCTGTCCGTCTTCTCCGATCTGGTGGATCTGCACCTGCTGAGCGTTGGCCAGCGCGTAGTGCAGGGCCTGCGGCTGCGGCTGTGGCTGTGGAAGCTCGCTGGAGGGAGGTGGGGTGCTCATCATTGGCTCTGTGGGGGCGACAGGTGTGAACGGGGTGAACAATAAGTTTCTTAGGCATTGCCTCTTGCGGCATGTGTGCACCCCTGTCCCTCCCTCTTGACTCCCACAGCAGAGAAGAGGAAATGCTTCATTTTTCCTCTGCAGAGATCGCTACGAGTGAGTCTAAGGAACTGAGGCTTCCAACATGGAATGCAGAAGCGCCTGAGAGTGGAGTGATGTTGCTGTGACAAAACCCCTTCCAGTCCCAACTTCTTTAAATGAATAAAGTTCTTCAAGTGGACATTAAAAGCTGTTTCAGGCTGGCAATATTTGTCCATGGGTAATTAAACTAATAGGACAAAAGCCTCATCCATACACTTAAAGGTACATTTCCGACAAATTTTACTTGCTGTGTTTAATCAAAATGAGATACATCTGCTTTGATGTACTGTGTATTAATTTTCACTGTAATGATGTCTCAATCTTAATTTTCTTAAACACTTAGAATATTAAGAGCGCAGAAAAACTTTTTAATTTTCAATGTATACACGTAGCTTTGTTGCAGAGAATTATAATAACTAATTAAAAAAAAAACTTTTAAGCATAAAAATGTAGTAAGAAGGGCCGGACACAGTGGCTCACACCTGTAATCCCAGCACTTTGTGAGGCCAAGTGGGGAGTTCAAGACCAGCCTACCCAACATGGTAAAACCCTGTCTCTACTAAAAATACAAAAATTAGCCAGGTGTGGTGGCACACGCTTGTAGTCCCAGCTACTTGGGAAGCTGAGGTAGGACAATCACTTGAACCTGGGAGTCGGAGGTTTCAGTGAGGCAAGATCATACTATTACACTTAGCTCCAGGCAACAGAGCGAGGGGGGGGAGGGGAAAGGGGAGGAGAGAAAAGAAAAACTTTCCATGTATTTTTTACCAATAGCTAATGGTAGGTATTAAATTGCCATAGTACATAGATTCCACTGAAAACATTTTTTAAAGTAACAATAAAATGTTGGCTTTTTTTTTTTTTTTTTGAGACAGTCTCGCTCTGTCACCCAGGCTGGAGTGTAGTGGCGTGATCTTGGCTCACTGCAACCTCTGCCTCCTGGGTTCAAGCGATTCTCTTGCCTCAGCCTTCCAAGTAGTTGGGATTACAGCCACCCACCACCATGCCCAGCTAATTTTTTTTGTATTTTTTGTAGAGAAGGGATTTCACCAGGTTGGCCAGGCTGGTTTAAAACTCCTGTCCTCAAATGATCCACCTGCCTCAGCCTCCCAAAGTGCTGGGATTACAGATATGAGCCACTGTGCCCAGTCACATAATAAAATGTTGATACTTGCAATATGCTAGAAATTGTCCGGCTACACTAAATCAGAATCTGAATTTCATGAGATTCGAAGGTGGTCCTCCTGCATGTTGAACGTGGAGAGCTCGGCTCCAGCCAAAGACCCTGACTCCACCTGAGCACCTCCAGATGTGGGTCATGTCCCAAAGCAACCACCCCCAGGCAGTGCTGCACACTCCACAGTGCGTTCCTGTCTGCCTGAGCAGTTACAGAGTACTTAGCACCATAGGTCCTCCAGCAAGCCTTGTGGACCCCAGGAAGAAAATGACGAAATCCCAGTGGGGCTGAAGCCCACCTCCACGGACCTGCTGCTCCTCCACTGACCCTCTCAGCACCTACAAAACCAGCCTAATTCTTCACTGATGCGCTGCTTCTCCAGGCATCTAACGATTATCAAACCTTGTGAAATCTCAATTTCTAACTGTTTCCCCAAAGACAACAGTTTCCAGCCCACTGCCACCTTGACAGTCCCTGGAGAGCTCCTCCCAGCGGCTCCAAAACGCCCCACCGGGGCCACAGGGCAGACAAGCTAAGAATGGGTGTGCTCCAGAGTGCACCTTTCAACCGCACGGGCTCCGAGAAAGGTCCTGCACACCGGCGCAGCCAGCAAAACACTGCTTCACACGCTGCTCCACCACTCCTGTGCAAATGCTTTGAGTCTACATTTTCAGCTATGAAATTTCAGCTCATTAAATTTACCCTTTCAAGATTTTAGTATCCTAATGACGCAGGCCAACATATCTGGCAGTCGTCAGGTTATATAACAACCGCTTCTTGCTTACTAAGGTCCTGGCAAGTAATTTAACTTGGGTTTTGACTCCCCATTGGATGAAACAGACCGCTAACCTTACCAAGTGCACGTACCCGAAACACATGGCAGGCAAGCCTGGAAACCACTCTCCTCGCTTTTCAAGTCTAGGAGTTCCCTACGGTTCTTTCTGATGTCTTCTATTTCTCTCCTTGCTATGTTCCTTTTTTCCTTTAAATTCTTGAATGTAATTTTAATAAATTTCAATGTCCCGGTCAGTTAATCCCAGCCAGGGTCCCTTCCTATATTTAATAAATTTCAATGTCCTGGTCAGTTAATTCCAGGCACGGTCCCTTCCTATCTTCTGATTTTCTGATCACAGGTCACAATTTCCTGCTTCCTGGTACTTTTGACTGGATACTGGAGATGGTGAATTTTACTTTGTTGGATGTCTAGGTTTTGTTGTCTTTCTTTTAAAATTGTTGTTACTTGTGGTTCAGTGTGATCTTTCTCAGGCTGTTTTAAGCTCCGCCTTTACTCTGGGATAGGTTAGCCGCTGGGGGGCGTGGCCTGCTAGTGCAGTGACAGCTGTTTTAAGCTCCGCCTTTACTCTGGGATAGGTTAGCCGCTGGGGGGGCGTGGCCTGCTAGAGCAGTGACGGCTGTTTTAAGCTCCGCCTTTACTCTGGGATAGGTTAGCCGCCGGTGGGCGTGGCCTGCTAGTGCAGTGACTGATCACTGAGCATTCTCCACTCTGGCTGCTGCGAATCCAATCGCCACCCAGCCTGGTGTGAGCTTAGGAACCATTCAGCTCATGCCTGCCTTGGAATCCCCCAAACACCCAAGGAGGCCCCCGTGTAACCCTCTGCTCTTAAGAACTTGACTGCACTTTTAGCTGCCTCAGCCTCTCTCAACTCCAACCCACCTCCTCCACGTGGTGATGCAGCTGTGCTCTGCCTGGCATTCCCCCTCCCTCCTCTCGCGTTCCCTCTCTCAGGATCACGGTCCTGTGCTGCTGCTTGTCTAATGTCTTAGGACAGCCGATTCACAGATTTTTCTCCAGATTTCGATGGCAAGAGAATTCAATCTGGTTCTTGCTACTATGCCTGACTAAAGTCAGAAATCTCCTCTCCTTGACATTTTTCTTTTTCTTTTTCTTTTTTTTTTTTTTTGAGACGGAGTCTTGCTCTATAGCCCAGGCTAGAGTGCAGTGGCGTGATCTCAGCTCACTGCAAGCTCGGCCTCCCGGGTACACGCCATTCTCCTGCCTCAGCCTTCTGAGTAGCTGGGACTACAGGCGCCTGCCACCAAGCCTGGCTAATTATTTTGGCATTTTTAGTAGAGACAGGGTTTCACCATGTTAGCCAGGATAGTCTTGATCTCCTGACCTCGTGATCTGCCCGCCTCAGCCTCCCAAAGTGTTGGGATTACAGGCGTGAGCCACTGCACTGGCTCTTTTTTGGTTTTTTGGCTTTTTTTTTGAGATGGCGTCTCGCTCTGTCACCCAGGCTGGAGTGCAGTGGTACAATCTCAGCTCACTGCAACCTTCGCCTCCTGAGTTCAAGTGATTCTCCTGCCTTAGCCTCCCAAGTAGCTGAGATTACAGGCATGCACCACCACACCCGGCTAATTTTTGTATTTTTAGTAGAGATGGGGTTTCACAATGTTGTCCAGGCTGGTCTCGAACTGCTGACCTCAGGTGATCAGTTCACCTCAGCCTCCCAAAGTGCTGGGACTACAGGCATAAGCCACCACACCCGGCCCCTCTGACTTTTAAACAACATTTTTTAAAACTATAAAACAAACGCAGTGCTTGTTGGAATTAACTGAGAAACTACAATGAAAGACAAAGAGACAAATAAAAATTATCCTACTACCTAGAGACAGGCACTATAAAAATGATCACACATAAATGTTTAATCACCTTCCACATACACCTATATATTTGCAATAAAAAATGGTCTCATACCATAAGTCTAGTTCTCACACCCACTCTCTGCCTAGCTATGAATATTCAAGAGCAGAATTCAAGTCATGAGCAATATTCCTCCAGCCCCATTTTAACAGCCACAGGTTACGCTGCTACATGGTATTTCATTGAATGCCATTAACCCATCCCCCAGGACTGCTACCTTTCTAAAGTCCCAAGGCAGAATTCCTCATTGTAGTAGAAAGGCCTAGAAGAGCTTCTTCAACACAGGTCACTCAAGAAAGCGCTGCTTTAGGGACACAACTTGTGTGGCCCACTGCAGCCAGCCACCTCCCATCCTGGAGCCCCTGGGCAGCAGCTGAGGCTGAGTATCTGATAACTACCAAAACAGCCCGGGAAAACCACTTCCTGAAGTCCAGTTCAGAAAGAGACCCCGGGAGAACTCCAGGTGATCTAGTCTGTAACTTGCAGGACCTTCCAGAACAAAGGGTTCTGGCCGACAAACACTCCACTGAACAGGAGAGCTGGCCCTGCCCACGGCTGCCCTCGCATCCTGACCCCAGCCCCAATCAGAGCTCAAGTTCCAAGAGCCGCTGCCAATGCAGCTACCGTGGGGAGCTTTAAAAGAATAGTTTTCATTCAAATACTTATTAAAATATTTTGAGATGTCTTGGGTGAAAGGCAATATCAAGTCACATTGTCATTCCTAGTGAAAATTCTCCCAAGGAGAAACAATCCCCCCAGCAATGCCTGAGAGACAACTGCAAGAGAACTGCTTCCATTATCTTGTGGATAAATCCAACTAAGGCCATGAACTCAAAGTAAAAATAAAGCACAATTCAGAATCCACCCCACCCCTCACCCGGAGTCACCAGGCAAATCATGAGAATACAATGGCCGGCAGCCACATGCAAAGGCCTCGGCCTCCTTGCCCCCATCCAAAAGACTTCCAGGAGGTCCAACAGGCCCCGTGTGAGGAGCCTGGAGCAGGCCTGAGGCTGTCTGTGTGAAGGGCACACAGGGCCAGGCACAGGTCCTGCAGCTCCACTGCTCCGTGTGCACCGCACAAGCCTCTGGCCTCAGCTCCTGGCAACTGCTAGAGCCTCCGGCCACACTCTGGCTGCCCCTAAAAATGCCACCAGGCCAGCTGCCCTAAGCAGGCAAGGGCGGCCTCTCCTGTGGCATGAGGCCTACCTGAGGGGCAGTAGGAAGATGAGTTCGGCGTTCTCCGCGAGAAGCTCTTGACCGCCAGGCTCTGGCCCCGCTGTTTGCGCCGCCACGCCGTGCGACACTTGGAGTCAATGCTCTGCTTGATTCGGTACCAGTCGGATTCCGTGATGCCAAATTTATAGAAAAGGTGACCTGGAAGGACATATCCAAGGAAAAGCGGTGAGGCCTGCTCAGGATGGCCATCAGGAGCTGCCTGGCTGCAGAGCTGGGGCCCGCAGAAAAGGCCTCACCCAGGCACCCCAGCCGGCCAGGCTGGCCCCATCTTCCTGCAAGGGTCCAGAAAGGCCCGCTGCACAGAAGGTACTCAGCTGGCCCACAGGCGGGGCTCCCCATAAGATACAAATGATCCCTAAGGGGTCATGACATGCTCTTTCCACTTGTTTAACTTCTCGATCCCTCTGACTTGGTCTGCCCACACCAGCTGCACACTTGGGGCTCTCACAAGATTCCCAGACCGTCCACGCTCCAACTTTCCTCTGCCCTGAACTCACAGCAGCACCTAAGGTCCTGCATGCCCAGAGGATGAGATCAGGGACCTCAACAATTGAACTAGAATTTGTCGGTCCTCTGCTTACTCACGCCTGCTTGGCCACCGCCCTCCCTTCCTTCATGTCTTGGCTCCACCATCCCTCTGGATAACCACCCAGGTCTCCCGCCCTCCCGCCCTCCTGGGCTCCCACCCTCCGCCCACTTGTTTTGTCAGAGCACTGACCACCTTCCAGTGTTTGGAGAATTCATGTATGTAGTTTACACTGTTCCCCTCACAAACACAGTTGAGAATTCACGTGTGTACTGTTACTCTGTTCCCCTCACAAACACAGTTTGGAGAATTCACATGTGTACTGTTACTCTGCCCCCCTCACAAACAGTTTGGTATTATTACTCTGTTCCCCTCACAAACACAGTTTGGAGAATTCACGTATGTATTGTAACTCTGTCCCCCTCATAAACACAGGGGCCTTTGTTGTGTCCACCCATGCGGGTCAGGCACCTAGAACGTTCTCGCGCGCAGTGGCTGCTCCCGTGTAAACAGTGATTACAACAGACCGTAAGACACCCTCCCATGGCTGCTCAAGACTGGGGTTTGTTTACGTCATTCCCGACACCTCTCTATCATGCCTTCTCAACCAGAGCACAACCTCCTCACGGGCAGGGCCTGCGTCCTCATCCCTGGAGTCCCTACACCACAAGCCGAGTGGGCACAACCTACTCTCACTGTGGAGCCAAAGCCAGGTGCATCGTCTTCCCGGGGCTCGCCGTGCACACAGCAGAGAACTGTCCTGGGACACCCAGTTCTCTACAACCTGCACTACAGAGAGTTCTCAGCATGCCCTGAGTAGCACCCAGAGGTGCCCTGTATTCAACAAGGAGAAAACTGAGGATCCAAAGGCCACAGTGGAGCAGGTGACAGGATGGAACCAGCACCCCGCTGCACGCCCAGTCACTTCCCACTAGGCCACAAGACCCTTTCCCTGTAGCGATGACGAATGTGGGAATCATGGGAAGGGCTCTTCAACACACTGGCCTCTCTAGCTGGCTCATGCAACTTCACTAATTTACAGGAAAATACACGGATGGAATCCAGAATTGTAGTAAGAAGACGAAGCTGAAAAGTGTCCTGTTTCAACTACCTCAAGTCTGGACTCCACTGCCCAAACCCTAAAAATCTGCTCCCATTGAGACTAAAATGGTAGAAACAATCGAAACAGAGGAAGAAGTGTTTGGGTTTTTTAAGTACTCTATTAGGTATCAAAAGTCCCTCGGGTTTTGGAAACATGCCTCTTAACTTTTTTATCAGTAGATACTTGAGACACGTTTGACTCTCTGTATAACGACAACCAACCTGTCTGTGCTATAGACAAAAAGAAACCAGCCAGGAGGGCGGGATTTGCAGGATCAGAGGGAAGAATAACCTGAAGTCGTTTTGGCAGCACGTTTTTATCCTCACACATAAAAGAAATTATACGTGAAGCAGCAGCTCTTTGTCTTCCAATTTTCGGGTCATCTCTAAAATAATCAGTGTCACCCTCAAATCTTGGCTGGGTGACGGAGACGCCTCAGGAAGCCCTAGGCTGAGCAGCCTTAGTGACTCACAGAGGAAGCCAGCCACTGGCTGTGGTCATGGGAGAACCCAACCATTAAAATCACAATGAAATCCTTACAGGAGAGCCCAGCTACTGCCAGAGGTTGCACCACAGTTACCGTAAAACCCAGCTTTCAAACTCTACTTCAACAGTTTCAGGACAGCCCAACTACTGACTTTAGATACAAAGCAGCCCAGCTGCTGCCACCAGGAGACAAGAAAAGAAACAGCCATCCCACCAGCAGGACAATGACTTTGGAGCACGAGTCGATAAAAAGAAACATCCTCAGAACCGCCCTCCTGTTACCCTCCCACCTTCACACTCCAGGAGAAAACTTCCATATACCTCAAAGGATTAATGAGTCCATACGAAATTTAAAAACAGGTTAGTAACAGGAAAGAAAATATACCTAAAACACCCAGGTGTACGGGTAAGAGAAATGAGTAAAAACATTAACATTTAAATTCAACTTTGTAAAAATAGAGTTGCCAGTTCAAACCCTTACTCATACCTTTTAAATAAAAAAATACATATTCATCTAGTTACCCGCCACCGAGTTTCCATTGTCCTCAGACATCAAATTACCTAATTCCTTCTGATCCGCGCTCCAGGCCCCAGCCTGGGCAAATGCCCCCTGCTGGCCACCAAGGAGATCCAGAGAACAGACCAGCCGCCCAGGCACTGCCTGCAGAGCGCGGTAGGTGAGGAGGGGGAGGATCTGAACATGCACAGATGAGTGCAGGCGTCGCCCGAAGACGCTACTGGACTGCAGCTGGGGCAAGCGCTCGCTTCTGGGCAGCCCTCGGGGCTCTGAGGGTCTGTGAGGGGCTCAGATTCCTTTACCGTTTGTGACAGCACTGAGCAGCTGCACTTAACAGAGGGAGCGGGAAAAATCCTATCATGATGGGATCAAAAGATTACCTTGAATTTAACTGTCATTTTCCACTTAAAGCATCTGATCTCATGTTATTTGATGGACATTCTTTCTAAAAGCCTCATAAAGTAGGAATGTCACTACTTTCACTTTGGTTTTGAGGCAAAAGCCAGAAAAAGGAGAAGTGATGTGTCCAAGTCCAATTACTAGTTAGGACTGAGCACTGGCCTTAAAGTGCAAGCTTCCTGGGCCCACCCAGGTGGAGAGGCAGCGGCACTCACTGGATCCTGAGAACCCATGAGAGGCACTCGGGGAGGTGGGAAGAACATGCACAGCCCCGCACACGTGCCTCTGCTGTCCTGAGCTCCCTCAGCCCAAGGCACCCACAGCCCCTGCTGCCAGGAGGCCTAGTCGGACTTCGATCGAGGCAGAAGGTCTCCCCCGCAGCAGTGCCCAGGACACAAGAAGAACAGAAGTGCTCGGCATCCAGCTGCTGCGGCTCATGGGATCCCCATAGCGCGGCATCACCCTCCCGGGAGCAGAACACCCTGTCTGGCCTCAGTCCCTGCTTCCCCAGCATATCCCCCACACCACGCCCATCACACACCACGCCCATCGAGGCCCCTCCAGGCCGGGACAGGCTTGCCTTCCAGGCTCAGCCAGGCAGCATCCCGGCCACTGCCCACACCTCTATTTTCCTGATGAGCTGTCCTGCAGTTCCCGAAGAGCTGAAGAGTCCCCATTACACCATTAGCTGCCTTCCCACTTTCCAGAATCCCCGTTACTGACTCTGGTGGTTCAAATCATCAACCGATTCCCAGCCTTCCATCTGTGGGGCCATGAGCGGCACGGTGGGAAGCGAGATGAGAGAGCTTGTAATCTTGCGTCTTGGTGGGTGGCACGGGGCTTTATCAGTCACCAAGGAATGAAGAGCACCACCCCTGCTAGTGCAATCTCAAGTGCAAGGGAAGGCAGCACAAAACTGAGTGCCAACAACTGATTTCTTGAAATTACAGACTCGACGTGATAGCGCTGCCTAGAATAACAAAGGGCGTCTCGAAGCCTCTGCCCGATGGAAGCCAGCTGACACGCTCCCTCCCGGGGGAAGCACACGCAGCCCACACCCCACGCACCTCACATGTCCAGCCTCCAGGCCACGCTGACCGCCTTCTCCAAGCCTGCTGACTCACTCCTTTATGAGAAAAAACGATGGAGTGACACCTGTCCTCAGTCTGTTAGCAACAGAACCCCTCACAGCCACCTGCAGGACCACCTCCAGGTCACAGCATGTGGGTCAGCTGCTGCTGAGGCGGCGGCTCCGCTCACTTTTCTGCCTGCAGCCCACATTGACCACAACTTCCTCGCAGCTCTCAGTCACCATGAGGCGCTCAATGTCCCACGACAAACACCCACCCCTGCGTGGAGTCCACATTCTGCCCTTAAGGACACATACAGGGCAGCCTCACCATTTCACCTCACAGAGAACCTGGAGAAGAGACAGCACTTGACCACCCGTGTCCCCACAAAACTCATGTCCTGGCCCAGGACCCCAGAATGTGACCTGAAGGGAAACTAGGGTCTCTGCAGATGTGATTCCTTAGGTTGCAAGGAGGTCATCCTGCAGGAGAGGGGGCTCCAAATCCAGTGACTGTCCTCGTAAGGAAAGGGACACAGAGGGAGACACGGGGAAGACAGCCGTGGGGGACGCGGGCAGAGATTGGAGGGATATGGCCACCACCAGAAGCTGGGAGAGGGAAAGGGCCTTCAGAGGCAGCATGGCCCTGACCACACCTTCATCCCAGGCATCTGGCCTCCAGACCTGCGCAGTGTTCCATGCCAGCCAGACTGTGAGCTTTGTTCCAGCGGCCACAGGAACCTGAGGTACCCTGCAAGACACAACGGGGCCAGGACCACCTGCTCTTGGAGTGAATGATCTGAAAAGAACCACAATCATCTGACAGGTCAACCTTGAATGTACAACTTTTTACTCTGTGCAAGTGAATCCGGTCTCTCCGTAACTGCTAGGAGGTCTCGTGGAGATCTGCCACCCACAGTAGCATTCTTTAGATCACACGAGATCGGGTGTCTTCAGGGTGGCACGGCCATAGACAGCCTCTTTTAGAAAAGCCTTCCGATCCGGGGTCACCGGCTTGGATGCACAGTCCAAGCAGAGG